ATGATATTGATTAACCTACCCCTAGATTAAGATGTAATTAGTGCCTAATTACAAATATTAATTATGTTTAGTATTATGTTATATATAGATAAAGGTGTTGAAGGTATTGGTAGTAAGAAATCACTTGTCCAAGGAACTTTAGTTGCTTGGAGCAAAAGTAACCTCTACTAATTTGTTATAGTGTGTGCCTTGTGATTGATTATGTGTGTTTTGTTAAAATGAATTATTATTTAAAAAATATTAGATAAGAAAAATATGCATTTATTATTTGGAAAAATTAATTGCCAAGTGAGGTATTAATTTTGTGTTTGTGTGAGTTGGCATGAAAAGAACATGTGTGAAAACATGATTTATTATACAGAGATATATTTTGTCTGGAAATTTCTTTTGTTTAGAAAACACTTTATGCATGAATTGTTGGGTTTGTTTTGAGATGTGAGCATTTAGAGATTTTGTTTGAAGATTATCTACCACATGGTAAGCCATCATTGAACTTAATAAGTGACTTTAGCTTAGACCAACTCACTTTTGGCCTCGTGACTTAGTTCTAGACATGGTGTATGGAGGGATATAAGACGTAGTTATACAAACTTGTTTTTGTCCAAATTGTATAGATTTCATATGTATGAAAAAATATTCTTGTATTCTCACTTACCAATCCATGATTTGTCGCGTTACATGCATTATAGCATTTTATTATTGGTTACTAAAACCTTTGTATCTCATTCCTTGTAGTTAACATTTATATAGGAGTAAGTTCAATATGAGGAGTATTAGAGGCCTAGTTTTGGTGTTTGAGGCACTAATTCCTTTTATTTTGCTTCTTTTTGAGTTAAGTAATGTATATTTGCTAACTTAGGATAACTATGATTATAGTTGTGCATGTATACTCTATATTTTAATTACCTTCATATATAGTGCCATAAGAATTCTATCTATCCCTCATAGCCTTTGATTAACTTAGCATACTGTACCATGAGGATTCTAACTATCCCTTATGGTCCTGATTGTTTATTTGAAATGTTGATGATATGATCAAATTTTTGGGATTATCTTGATTAGCTAGTTATGATTATAGAATAGTGTTGGGTGGCTGTACTTTTCCCTTGTTTAGAATATGATTGTTGCATGATGTTTGATGTGATGTGTTGTGATCAAGTGTATAGAGTGGACTATGGTTGGATCATAGTATTAAATTGTGAAAAGAATTGTTCAAACTCATTTCGGGTATTGATGTTTAGATCCATGTTTAGGAAATGTGGCTTATCTGACTAGAGTTTAGTGTACTTGTTATGGGCATACAATTGAGTCACTTTATTGACTATTATTTGTGTTCGGTATAATGTTTGGAATTGAACTGCCGTAGCAACCATACTTCATGCTTATTTATGACTTTTAAAGCAAATGATAGATTTTTGAATGTTGGTTTTCAATGGAGTTCTAGTAGGTTCACTTCATTTATTATTATTTTACATTAGTTTTTATGGTAGACTTATTTTGCTATTTTTAAGCCTTTTCTACCATGGGAGATCATTTTCTACCATGGTAGTTTATTTTAAGAAATATTTTATTATAAAAAAACTTTTTCTATTTTGATAAGCTTCATAAAAAATGATTTTTATTCTTAACTACTATGGTAGCCCCTTTCTATTATGGTAGGATTTTGAAAAATATGGTTTGCTTTTTATTATCATGGTAGACATTTTTTTATTGTGGTAAGTGTTTAATAGTTGAAGGCAAATTATTTAGTTGTATTTGGCAAAAAATAAGAATGAAATTTTAGAATGTAACACACCCCCACTCTTTGAAAAAATTACAAATAGAGTATGTAAATTTTACGACTTTACACTCCCCCACTCTTGATATTCTACACACTCTGAACTAAATATATATATATATATATATATTCAAACTCAAAAGCTTATTAGATATGTAATATATTAATGATCAAATAAAGATATGAAGAGTATATTTATATAAAAGACCGTATTAACATGTTCAATATAATTTTTTAGAAAGAAAAATAAGATCAATCTACTTATGTTATTACAATTTTAGTTTAAATGTAATTATTATTTTTAATTATTTAAAATATTTTTAACAAAATTATTAATTTTTAAATTAAATTATCTTGCACATTTGGGTCTTGGCTTTATCATTAATTATGGGTTAATATTTTGATGTATTTAAATGATTCATGAAATAATATTAACTTAGAACTCATCATTCAGGTATATTTTTCTAAAATTTATGAAAAAATAAATGGGTTAGAGGGTTAAGTTTACCTGACAATCCTCAAGAGTTGTGTTAGAGGCAATTTTTTAGCCTACATGAAGATAGTTTAAATCTAATTAAATTCATATTTCCTCCAATTTATATAGGCCAACCCAAGAATGATATATATATATATATATATATTCACAAATAGACTATTATAAAGTGATATTCCCACTATTAAAAAAAAGATATTTTTTAAAGTTATATGTTTAAAAATATAAGGTATTTTAATTTTTTAATATTTAATTAATGAGTTTTTCCCAAGACACCCTTAATAACTAAACTACTCAAACTCTTTTAACTTTAAGTGTGACGCTTTATTAAATAAGTATAGACTTGGAAAGATAATGTTATTTTAAAAATAATTAACTAACTAATTAATGGTATAATTTGGTTAAAAAAACTTTATACCCTTCTGGTCTTTATTATAACAAAATCCAATTACTTCACCAAACCTAAGGAGAGATAATTAAATCATTAATTTTATTTAAAAATATAATAAACTTCCAATATACACCTATTTAAATGAAAATTTTTTAGATTTATATTATATTTTCTTTCATATTTAATGAATTTATATATAAATAATATTAAAAAATTATAATGAATACTTCATCAAATTCCTTATACTAAGAATAAAACTTTGTATTTTAGAGTGTGCCCTAGAGATTGGAATAATATTTTTTTACTATGGGAGTATCCAATAATCAGATAGTATAAATTATAAAGTAACATTAAGAATAGAGATAATATGATTACCAAAAAAAGAAAGAATACAGACAACAGATGGGTTCTCAATCCTCTCTCTCCCTCTTTTGCTATTGTCTTGGATTCCAGATGTACACTTGCAACCAAAGTATGTAAAATGTGAAATAATGAACATTAACTAAAAGTTATTGGATCAAAGGAAAGAAGCTAATTTCTCGTAAGATAGCAAATAAATAGAATTAAAATTAATTTTTTTCCCACTTTATAAATAAAATTAGAAAAGTATAATAAAATTAAGTTTTTTTTTAACTTCACATGTTACAAATGATATTTATAAACTGATAGTTTTATTTAGAACTTAAATATTTTATTTATAATTTAAGTTTTTAACTTTATAATTTTTTAAATAGATACTTGCAACTTATTTTAAAAAAAACATATATGATATACCTATCCATCTTATTTATAAATTATTTTTACATATTTTATTAAAAAAATTTAAATTTTATTAACTTCATTTAAAAATTTAACATTATTCTAACTTTATCTTTATTAATTATATATACATTAAAAATAAAATATTTTAATGTTTAACAACTTTTTCTGCAGTGAACAGAGATAAATGGATAAAAATGATGGAATTCACTACAAATGTATGTTCTCTTTCCTGTCATCCGTACAGGAGGAGTGGATAGCATTAAACCTTGTTTTTTTTATTTTAATTACAGCAACACAAAAAAATCTGTTTAAGGGAGAGAGTATAGGACAAAAAGCACGAAATCCGTACCATCTAGAGAGGGTCATTAATATAATCCTAGTGCATGCTGGAACCATGTCTGTGCCACAGCACACAGTGCTGATGCAAGCTTCTTGCTTCTGAAGCAAAAGCTCACACGCGGCATAGCCATGGCTGCTCATTCTCACTCGTCCAGCCCCGTCCATTTCTTCAGAGTCATCCTCAAAACCAATCTCGAAACCATTGTAAGCATTTCTTCCCTTTGATGATGCTTCTTCCTCCCTTTTTTTTTTCCCCTTTTCCATGATCTGGTTTTTTATAGCTTTATTTACCCAATGCATGCGAAAGATTGCTCCTTTTTTCTTTTGGGGGTGTTTCTGTGATCATATGAACAGGGTTTAGCCTTTGGATCAACTGCATCTTTGTTTATAAAAATCATCTTCTTTTTGACAGAATTAAAATTTCCAGAAATGGAAACGCTGAACTCTTATTTGCTTTCCTCTTTGACTCTTCTTCATTGACATTGGACTGAAAAGGATTGGTCTCTTATGGACCTTTTATGCTTAAATTTGTGATCAAGCTGCCTTTAAATTGAAATATCTTCAAGGTTACGTGAGAGAGGGATGCTGTGAAGTTGAATTGATATATTCATTATGATTCTGGAGTCTTAGTTATTTCAAACAAACATTATAACATCGCATTTGCTCTTGAATATATAGAATCTTTAAGTTCAAAAGTAGTCAACATTCTTTCCTCTTGTACTTTTTTTCCTTTTAGGATAATTTTTCATCAACATGACAGAATCAGAGCTGTTGTACTTGCAGATAAATGAACACACACACACATTTCCAGACTATGGGTTACTCATTATCACTTCTTCACAGATGATTCCAAGCAAATTCACACGGAGATATGGAAGACTTTTGCCCAACCCAGTGTATCTGAAGCCTCCTGATGGTAAAGAATGGAAAGTGTATTGGACGAAGCATGATAATGAGGTTTGGTTTCAAAAAGGATGGAAGGAATTTGCTACCTTTTACTCTCTAGATGAAGGGTGTTTGGTTTTGTTCAAATATGAAGGAACTTGTCAGGTTGGTGTACTTATAATTGACAAGAGTTGCATAGAAATAGACTATCCTTTGTCTATGGAAACGGATGCCTCTAGTCAAGAGGACAGCCTTGATAATCTCAGTGATGATATAATTGAAATCTTGGATGAGACACCTCCAAACGAAAAGGCCAGGCATGAAACACAAACACCCTTGTCTCTTCTAGGCCTCATAAGAAAATGAGAAGTACTACAGATGAAGATGCTGAGGAGAGAAACTTCAGTCTGCAGAATCAGCTGGTGGGTGTGAAGACTAAAGGAAGGCAATTTCAAGGAACAGGACTTCAGAAATCAACCAAAGCAAAATTGAAATTTTCTGAGCAAATATCTGAAGGTATGTGTTTTTGTGATCTGCTTTACCTTTTTAATTTGAGGATTGAATTGTCTTGTGTGCAATCAAGTTCGCTTAAAAATCAAAATTTTCTATGACACCACTCAAAATTGTGCAGAAGACACCATGGGAACAAGAATTTTCAACAAAGTTAAATGTGTGAATTCTGAGCATAGACAGAAAAACGTATTAGCTGCCGTGGAAAAGAACAGAGCTTTGGATGTTGCCAGATCTTTCAAATATGATAATCCCTTTTTCACGTTAGTCATGCAGCGTTCATATATCGGTTCTGGTTGTTACTTGGTGAGCTTTTTATTAGAATTGAGTTATCTTCTTCCAAAACTGAAACACTTATTTGCAGCTCTTGATTGGTGCAAGAGTTAAATTTTCTTCTTATCTCTCGAAATTTTAATCTTCTTTTCACAGTCAATGCCAAAAGACTTTGCTGCAAAACATTTGAAGGAAGAATGTGTTGTGCAACTTCAGACCTTGGATGGCAGAACTTGGCCTGCTAAGTTTAAAGTTCCTAAAATTGGAGAAGGCTGGAGGAAGTTTGTGAAGGAAAATGGTTTGAAAGTGGGGGATGTTTGTGTATTTGAAATCATTGATCTCTCATTCAAAGTACATATTTTTAGAGATGCTGAAAAAGGTACTAACTTTGTACATTGTACATTGGTTTATATGTTGATAAGTTCTCATGAATTCTTAGTTCTATTTACTTTGGATGATTTCTAGTTAAAAGTGAAGTGAGGACTTGTAATCTTGCATTCATTTGCAGGAGATCTGAAAGTTAATGCTTTTGAAAAGGAGCAGAGCAGCTGTATGCAAGATCCACCTCTTGAAAAGGAGAGCTCTTCCATATCTGAAAATCCTCGTTTTGTGGCTTTGATGACACACACTCACATATATGGCACATCATACTTGGTAAGCCTTCTATTTATTTATTTATTTTTATTTTTTGTTCTTGCAGTGTAGTTGTTTGTGTGCTTTTACAAAATTATTTTATTTTGTTGGTAAATTGAACAAAGAAGCTATGCAGAGGAGGCTGAATTAAGAGCTGGAAACCTTGACTGATTGGTTACCTTTTTAATTTAGATAAATGGTAGGATGGTCAAGACGATGTTATTTATTTGCGGACAGTTATACTTTTGTCTCTTTAGTTTCACTCAATTTTTAATTTGATCTCTATAATTTTATAAACAGTATATGATGTACAAAAGGAGCCACACTGTACATTGACTCATTCCTCGTGTTAGCATGATATTAAAACAATTATTTTCAGTTTACTTGTGCTTTAAGCCTATTATGTTAGTGTACATACTATTGTGTCTGTTTCAACAACAACAATAAATCTTATCCCGCTTAGATTATACAATGCTAAACTTTCTGGTATGTTGTAAGGTTTGATTGTTGATAGTGGGCAATGGTGTTATACAATTTATGTAGCCAACCCACTTATTATACAACACCAGTGTGTTATGTTTCAATTTATTGAATTTGACCAAAAAGCAACGTATTTTGTTAAGAAAAACTAAGGTAAAGTACAGTATTAAGAGTTTACCCAAATATAGTTTGATTACCTAGTGCTTTTAATGTTTCAAAGTAGTAGAAAACACAGAGACCATCATCCCAAAATGTCGATGCTAAAAGTGTCCATATGTAATTGAAAATTCAAGTTGTGTCTAATCTTAATTTTTTGACATATATTGCCATGAACACGACTCCTTTATTTGATTGGAGTGTTCTTGCTCAATAAGTGATTACTTGCTAATGATTGTTTTCACCTGCTTTGGCAGCATGTGCCCATAGATTTTGCAAAAGCTCATCTTCATAACAGGACTAAGAGTGTCACATTTCATGTCCAAGATAAAGATTGGACTGTTGGGTATGCATTCAGAAGTTTTGATAAACAACAAATTGCTGCATTTACTTGGGGATGGAAGCAATTTTGTAAGGATAATGATTTGAAAGTAGGTGATGTTTGTGACTTTGAGCTCACTCAGAAATCCAAATTTCAAGTGACAACTTTTCGGGCGACCACTTAACTCTCAGTTCATTCGAGCGACTAGGTAAAAAATATAAAACAGTAACCAGTTGCAAAATCTCGTGATCCTGTCTGATATGCCAAAAAAACAATTTTGAAGCTTTCTTGTGTCCAAAGAAATAGACTCAAATCCCCGCAAGTGAATGGAGGAGAAAGTGAGGAGAGAGACAGAGAAAGTGTGGGCCCCACCTTCTCTTCTCTTTTCCTTTCTTTCAACTCCTGAACATACTTTGATGGTTAATTTCATTTCTTTCTATTTTGTTCTGAAATTCTGCAGGTGGAAGCAAGAAGGCAACACTTTGGAAGTTTTGGGTAAGCTGATAGGTTCTCTTTTGGATTGGACCTTTTGAGAAGAAACACTTTTACACTATCCACAGAAGGACTTGTGATTTAGTGAATACCAAACCAAAAAGGGTAATTAGGGAACAAGATATGTATGTTTTGTGAAACTCTTGCATTATGAAAAACTTCGGCTCTTGTGTATTTCATGAACAGAAATAATATTATTTAGACCAGTAATATTTCATTTCTTGATAGGTTAATTATTTAAACATGGTTGATGTCATGTACATGTCATGTTATTAATGTAGGTGGTGTTCAAGAAATTTAAGGTCGTGTTAGCTTAAGATTCCTTTCATGTTGAGAGCATTCTTAAGAACCCATCTTCTCACAGCCCTTCCCAAATTCGTCAAGCAGTGTATTTTATCATTGTTTTCTACAAAATATTCATGTTACTTGGTTATGTGTGCTGACATAGTAAGCTTAAAACACAAGTAAACCAAGTATGTCAAGGGCCTCAAGGTTCTCGGATACCTACATTAATAAATAACAAGGCATGCATGTGACATCAGTCTACTATATCTAAATAATCAATAACATGACATGCATGTGACATCAACCATGTTTATACAACAAACGTCTTAAGAAATAAAAGTTAGGGAAAGTCACACTCAAGACTCCTAAAAGCAACATGAATACGGAAAAGTCACTTGAAATTACAAAATTATTTTAAAGTCTTATGTTAATTACTGCTAGACCATAGTTAATTATTGCTTCTTTTTTGTCAAAGTTAATTATTTCCACTTAGTTGTTAATTAAACAACTATCCAGCAGTAATTCAAATTGACAACTTCACTTATGGATATAAGATTTTAGACTAATTTTCATATAGGATGTAGAGCCATGCCAAAAGTATATATAAATGTTGTTCATAATATATATATATATATATATATATTCCCTCTAGTTTTATTTATAGGGTGGAGAGTGAAGAATTTTTTTAGTCTTATTTATAAATCATGTTATTAAATTTTTATTATAAATTTTTTTTACCCTCCATTTAATGTTGGAAAGAAAAAATATTATTGAAATGTGTATATTTAATAGAAGTAAAATTGAGAACTCATTAAATTTTAAGACATAGTTAATAAGTTTTGAGATTTTTCTTAATACTGATAAAATATATTGAAAGTGATTTATAAATAGGATCAAAGTAGTATATATATAAGAGTTGGGGTATCAAAATAAATATACACACATAAGACTTGTAGTTCTTCATAATGCAAAAGTTTCGCCAAAAAAAAACCTCTTCTATTGCTTAATTAACCTTGTTGGTTTTGTTTTCAGCAAATTCCAATAATTACTTTCTTCGGTCTTAAATAGAAAACACTCTTAACTACCTCATCAATAATAAATAAATATATATATATATGTATAGTTAAATCATCAAAAAATGGTCTAAAACTAAAATCACTTTACAAATTTACGTTTATTTAAAATATAAATTTTAAAAAGTAACTAATTTTATAGGATCCTTAATTTATTCTAGAGGGTGACTAATATATAAAACTGGAGAGACTACTTCTATTGATAGCGTAAAGAATTTTCAAGGAACTCAGTATCCTCCATAGCTCTGAAAGATTCAAAATTAACCATTAAAGTCTGTTAGGCACTTGTTAAAAAAAAACACACACACACACACTGAGAGAGAGAGAGAGAGAGAGAGAGGGAATATGGAAGCCACGGACCTAGTGCCGATGAGCACCAATCTGGATAGTGTATAGTAAATTGGACGATCCTGATTTGATGTTAATCAATTGGAAAATATAACTTTTGATTTATGAGTTTTCCTTTAATCCTTGAATTTTTTTTAACTCAGAATAACTCAATTCTTATAAATTTTTTAACTTAACACAACCAAATCTCTATAACTCCTTAACTCAATAAATTATAAGGATTAAATTGTATTAATCAAAGTTCAATGATAGAACTAATAATGACAAAAAAAGCAATGACTATAAGTTATATTATCCCTAATCATTTTTAGCTTAATCTTTTGTCAATATCAAATTTAAACGATTCAACTACAAGTACAGCAAGAAGCACTAAAGATAGACCACTTTACCGTGTGCAATAAAAACCTTGTCTAGAACAACCAACAAATTTAATGCAACTGACAAAGGTTTAACTTATAATTTATAAAAATGTAATATCAAATTTTACTATACATTTTTTGATCTTAGTGAGCTCTGAGATTAATTTGCCCCACACAGAAACATATAAGGATTTGACTTATAGTTCATAAAATTGTAAAATCAAATTTCACTATATTTTCGTTAATTTTAATGAGTTTTAAAATCCAACTTACATAAATTTTCCTCTCCCACACACATATTTATTTTTTAACCAAAAAACAAACTTTTAGACAGACCTCATTCGGTCCCCTCAAATCAACCTTTTATTGTGTACCAAACAAATGGACTCATCCGCAAGAGAACTGGACAGCAAGTCGGCAACTTTGATGAATGTGTGCGGATGTTTTGTCAATCAAGAATTTGTCTTATTTTATATAAATAATTAGGTAAATAAGCAGCAGCAAAAAAAAAAAAAACACCAGCATAGGGGTAGAGTGTAAAGAATGACTTCTAAATTTGTTTGTTTATACATTATATTGACTAAATGTGTTTTTTTAAAAAAAATAATTAGGTAAACAAGCAGCAGCAAAGGAAAAAGAAAAAAAATACACCAGCATAGGAGTAGTATATAAAGAATGACTTCTAAATTTGTTTATTTATATATTGTATTGACTTATTGTGTGTGTGCGCGCGTTTTTTTTTTTTTAAATTTCCTTGAGGTTTATTTATAATACTTCCTTGAATAATTTTGATCCAATTAACTCTCGTTTCGTTGAAAATTGTTCATAATGTAAGAAATATTTATGAATTAGAAATTTGACATTTTTATGATTTATAATATACATTCTATAAATAGATCTAATTAAATTTTTTTTAGTATTTACAAATAATTTTTACTGTAATATATTGATGTTTTATATTTTATAATTATAAATATAATTTTAATATTTTTCCTTAAATTTATCAAATTATCCACTCTTTTCATTTAAAAAATATAAGATATTTTTAATTAAAATATACTCTGAATGAGTTAGTTAATTATCTTTTTATATTTATTCTTCTTTAATAAAGTGTATTGCTTAAAAGTGAAGAGTTGAGCGATTTACTTATTAAAAATATTTTTTAAAAAAATAACTCGTTAATTATACAGTAACCAATGGAGTGCTCATAATATACATTTGTATAAAACATAAAATTCATGTCCTTGTCCATCATTATATATCTGAACATGCTTTTCAGTTATGTTTTTAAACAAATTTCAATTTATTAAATTAATTTTTTGTTACAAAAAATATTCAAATAAAATCACATTACAATAACTAAATTTTATCTCAACTTCACAAAACTCTAATTTATACAAACTTTAATTGTGTGAACGTTAATTCGAATCAGCTTTTCATCTCCTTCGTACTGTGAGCAAAAGAAAATTGGTCTTTCATGTTTTTTTTTTTTAAGGCTTGAGTTCGAGAAAATCCACTGTATAAATCTTAATTGCTGATAAGGTGTCTGCATTTTAACTAAATATCTAAATTTTCAATAGGAAAATCCTCCCACAAAAAGTTCAATAAAAAAAATTAAAATGCCCTTTTTAAAAAGACACAGTACCAATTTTTGGTTGCGGTGGGACCGTGTGGATCCCATTACCGCGGCGTGATTGACTGGTTACTGTTTTTAAGGAAGCTGTGGCACCGTCCTGCAACAGAGAATTTATTGGGCACCGATAGCCTATAATTCAGGTGTGAGGAGGACACTCAATTTAAATTAAACTTATTTATTTTAAATTTAAAATATTTTATTTTTTTAAAAAAAATATATAATTAAGTTCATCCTTAACACTTTTAAATTTCAGTTTTATTTGGCTAACTTGAATATTAAAAAATTTTAAAAAATATTATTTTAATTTTTAAATAATTTTATTAAGTATAAAATATTATTATAATTCTTAAAAAATAAAATAAAAAATAATAACTTATCAGCTTTAACTTAAGTAGTTCTGTTACTATTTTATTGTATTATATATAATTTATTTAAATATTTTCTTTATTTATAAATTAATGTTTTAATTATTTAAATATTACTCTTATTATCATCATATATAAATATTTTATATATGTTAATTAAACTATATTATTTTAACTATAATTAAGTTAATCTCAATTCAATCATTGTTAAATCATTAACTTAAAATTATTGCCGCAATTAATCTAAATTTTTTAATATCTTTTTGGATAAATTATACTTTTATTTTTAAAAATATGAGAAAAATAGCCATCATTATATTATATAAAATAAAATTATTTAATTATGAATAAAATAAATTTTAATTATTTTTTAACTTTTTATATTATTAAACCCCTACATATAAGAAATATTTATTTTAATTTCTTATTAATTTTTAATCAAATCTGGCATGGATGATAATCAAATAATTATTCAAGAATATTATTTTATTTATTATATTTATCCAGTATGAGTCAAGAATTCGTACATGCCTGAATTTTATTTTTAATTTTATTTTTACTTTACAATTAATTATCTTATTTTATAAAAATATAAAATATATTTTTTGAATAAGCAAATGATATATAGGACTCAAAAATTTTTTAAAAAATTGGGTCTTAAAATATAAGAATCAATATTATAATAAAATATATTTTAAATATTATTTTTGAGATATTTTATTGATAAAACATGAAAGTATAAATATTTTTTAATTTTTTAAATAATAATTATAGTAATACACTCAAATATATGGTATTATAAAATGACATAAAATTTAAAAAATTAATAATATTTATTATATTTTATATATTTTTTAAAAAATTTATTTTTTATTTAGGTATTCAAGCTAAGCTTGAACTGGGGCTTGGCTGAATTTTTAAGACCTATTTAACCCAACACGAATGGGTTCAAACATTTTAAATTATTATTTTTTGGGTTTAACCCAAAATTTTTTGGACTAATTCAAGCTAATTTATTGAATTTGGTCTAAATTATAAACTTTAATTTATATAATGAAATGTTCTCCCTCTCCACTAGATTGGCCAATTTAACTGGTTAAATCAAGAATTAGTCCCAAGTTCAATCTAATCATCATAGAAAATTAAAAATTTTA